CTATCTATCTATCTATCTATATCTATCATAAAAACAGAGCAGTTACATTCCTTTAAAAATAATGACTTTTGAAGGAGTCAGTCTGCATAGAAGCAGCTATTTTATACTATAATCAAGTGCTGGAAAAACATGAATATATTTATCAGCTTCAGTCAAGAATAGATGGAATCCAAAATTTCATTTTTCTTTTATAAATAAACTGGCATATTAATAGACGTCCTTCAGCAGGATTAAATTTATGTCCTTTCTGAGCAACAGAATTCTTCTTCTATATGTACAGTGTCCAAAAGAATGGTGGCTAGCAACCAAATCTTTCCCATATGCAATTTGAAGCCTATACTATCCACATGCATGATTGCAACAAGGATGCCATTGGTCAAGAACACTGAAAAAGCCTCACCCCCATTATATATATCTGCACAGATGCATAATACAGATTTGAATACGGTGTTGCTGTATGGAACCTGCCACCTCCATTCCCACAATGCTCACATACCTAAGGGTCAACCTTAATTGGATCCTCAACATAGGAACCAGTCCTCCATCTCAGAGTTTCAGAAAGGTTCTCTGAAAGAGCAGCAGAGATTCTCAAATATCTTCCCAATTATCTGTTTCTTGATCTTAAGACATCCGATATTAAACCTCCTTGCAACACATGCAGTCTCTATTTCCATTTCCACAAAAATATTTCTGGCCATTGGTTTTTGTTTTCATTTGTTCCACACACAAAAATTAGCATCCCTTGGTGCATTCTCTCCCCTCTGCCTTTTCTGATCCAGCTCACCCTTTAAAGGGGCCTTGGACATATCAGATTAGAAGTCAGTTGAAGAACCACACAATAGTGGCTAATGTACCAGGCTAGAAACCAGGAAACTGTGAATTCAATCCTCTCTTAGGTATAAAAACAGTTGTGTGACTTTGGGCCAGTCCCTGTCTCCCAGCCCCATTCACTTCACATGATTCTTTTTGTGGAGAGAAGGGAGGGGGAGGAGGAGGAGGAGAAGAGGAGGAGGAGGAGGAGGAGAAGAGGAGGAGGAGGAGGAGAAGGAGAGGAGGAGGAGGAGGAGGAGAAGAAGAGGAGGAGGAGGAGAAGGAGAGGAGGAGGAGGAGGAATAATTAGCTATGTTCACCCACTTGAGATATTTATAAAAGTAGTAAAGGTGGAATAAAAGCATTGCAATAAAAATAAAGAAAGAGAAATGAAACCCCTATGATTTTAAATATCGGCCTGTGGCCAGCCCTTTTATATGGTTCAGGAAAGGAACTTAGCTCTAATAATCCATATAACAAAGGAACAAACAGCTACAGCTATTCTTCAGTTCTTCAGCCAGGTCTTGCAACCTCCCTGGCTGTTCTTCATAAGCACCACCTGCTTTTTCCTGTTACTTCTCCGTCTTCCCTACCTGTCTAGGTCAGCACCTATGGAAAGTGGAAATGGACACAGGGTCCTTCACTTTGAGCTTCCCATTGCCGCTGCCACCACTGGTGGCCCTAGGCCTATCTGCACTCATGAACAGATTGCTCTGTGTGAGTTTCACTCTGAGCATCTAAAAGAAACAAGGCAAAACAAGCTTTAGGTTGCAATCCTTTCCCCGTCTCGCTGGTTTTGATATAAGATGTCTTTGCAATATCTTTCACTATTGCTGAAGGCATTTATGTGTTTTGCTAAATATCAGTGTAAACTCCCCATCTGTGCAGTGGAATTGGCTCTATGATCAGACACTCAATGGTGCCAGATAGAAAACAGGCTGGGTTATATTTACAGAGCAAACACATACCAGGAAGGCAAAAGGAACCAGGCCCAAAGGGATGCTGTCCAAATTTCCACCAGAGAAAGAAAGCAGATGCTCCAGTTTGCTCTGTACAGATAGGTGAAGAGAGCCCACCACCTAGTATGCAGATCCCAGGCAAAAGGACTTAATGCCTGTCTCTTTGAGCTGCAGATCGGTCCTGACAGCTCCAGTTGTACAGATAGGAAATTAGCCATTGCAACTTCCACAAGCAATTAGAAGAAGTTGACTCTTAAAGGGCATATTTGTTTTAGACTCATCATATTTCCAAATATCACAGGAGTTCACATTTTGCTGACTGGGCTGCACAAAAATCCCCTACTTCAGCATTTAAGAAGTTTTAATAAAATGGTTGATTGCACCAGTGTGGGTTATAGGGCAGGGTGGCTAGCAGTGTGGATGCCAGAAGGGCCAAAGCAGCTGGAACAGGAGCAGAGTTATATGACACGGAGCTGATTTTCATGATACTTTTGTAATAGGGTGGCTATGACCTCAGCAAAGCCTCTGCCTGGAAATATAATGTGAAAAAAAAATAGTGGAGAATTTTTAGACATTTGCTAGGATGTAGTCCAGACCTTGAAAATGAAACCTACACAATAGCTATAGGAATTTGGCCTTCTTGCCTCCATCTGAAAAAATAGCGGGGAATACAATTTGCAATTTTTACAGATTAACAGAGTTGAAAGGGACCTTATAGGTCATCTAGTCCAACCCCCCCCCCCGCCCAAGCAGGAGACCCTACACCATTTCTGACAAATGGCAGTCCAATCTCTTCTTGAAAGCCTCCAGTGATGAAGCTCCCACAACTTCCAAAGGCAACTTTTGTTCCATCAGTTGATTGTTCTCACTGTCAGAAAGTTTCTCCTTATTTCCAGGTTGAATCTCTCCTTGTTCAGTTTCCATCCATTGTTCCTTGTTTGTCCTTCTGGTGCTTTGGAGAATAGCTTCACACCCTCCTCTCTGTGGTAGCCCCTCAAATATTGGAACACTGCTATCATGTCTCCCCTGGTCCTTCTCTTCACTGGACTAGCCAGGCCCAGTTCCTGTAACCATTCTTCATATGTTTTAGTCTCCAGTCCCCTCATCATCTTGGTTGGTCTTCTCTGTACTTTTTCTAGAGTCTCAACACCCTTTTTATAGTGTGGTGACCAAAACTGGGTGCAGTACTCTAGGTGTGGTCTTACTAAGGCTTTATAGAGTGGTATTAGTACCTCATTTGATCTTGATTGTATCCCTCTGTTAATACAATTTAGGATTACATTGGCCTTTTTTGGCTGCTGCTACAGATTCAAAGATGCTTCCTTCTCCCTGACAAATTCTTTATTTCATTTTCCCAAGCTGGCTGAGTTCTCCCATCAAGGAGGATAATGCTCCAGAATTCTTAGACTTAAATTTGCTGTTCAGTGTTATAGTTCCACTACTTTTTGTTTATCAATTTATTGGAGAAAGAAGAAGGAGGCATTAGAATATTTGGACAATTCCATGAAGAAGTCCTAATAAGAGCCAAACTTGTCCAGAAGTTGCAAAAAATTAAATATCTCTGGCATGAGAGGATGGGCAAGATACTCCGAACGTCCACAAGGCTTGAGTGCACAAACTTCTTTGCTTCCTGCAAAGAACTCCGCTTTTTCAGCTGGCTTCTACCTCTTAAGGGAGAGCCCATTACCTTGCAGCCTTACTCCCGAGTCGCCCGTGCTGCTGCAGCTGCTCTTTCCTTTGAGCAGCCCTGTGCGCAGCGCACACTGAGCACAGACTCCTCGGGGACCTCTTCATCACTGCTGCCAGCCTCCACCATCTCCAAAGGCAGCACTCCACTCCCTGATGGTCCTGGCCCCATCCCTGCATCACACGCAGGTCTCTCATCTGAGTCCTCACTCTCTGAGACCTCAGCCGTCTGCACCTGTTGCCGGCGAACCACAACAGAAAGTTGCAAAAATGATCACATGATCCCAGGACACTGCGACTGTCATAAATACGAATCAGTTGCCAAGCATCCAAATTTTGATCACATGACCATGGGGATGCTGCAACAGTTGTAAAAAGTGTGAAAAACGGTGATAAGTCACTTTTTTCAGTGATGTTGTAACTTTGAACGATCACTAAATGAACGGTTGTAAGTTGAGGGCTACCTGTATATAAAGCTTTGGTTATTTCAAGCCATTAATTGGCTTACCAGCTTTCTGCAGAATGATGCTTATGATCAGCATTGGGACGCTGCTAACAGAGGTTGGATGCAGCCGTCTGGATGGCTAGAGAAATTGGAAAAAGGTAGCAACAGATGGGGCAAAGTAGAATGGAGCCAGGTAATACAGTGAAGACGTAGCCAGGATAACACCCATACCAGGCAACAGATGGCAAACTGAGATGGGGAGATAACTGAAAAGGAAGGACTATTTTTCCATGCCAAAAGCTCAAATTCAGGTGCCTCTGTTAGCACAGATATCGTATCGCCTGACTGGCTGAACTGAAGACTTGGTGGTTGGTTCCCATGCTTGGCTAGGACACAGTGGGGTTCCTCTGCTTGCTTGTTGAACCATATCAGGATATGAATGAATGCCTATGAACTGTTTGTGATTTGTAAGCCATAGTTTCTGGCATTGGGTGACGCGTGGCCGATACATTATGTTTAAAGCAAACTCCGACTTAGCACAGCGCCTGAACACTGAGTTGGCATTCTTGCCTTCTTGGTTTCAGATCTGTCTCCTAGAACAATCTCTCTTCTTTTTCAGGTCCTCAGCAATGAGAACACGCTAACGTTGAAAAACGTGCACCAAGAAGATGCGGGGAAGTATGTGTGCCGTGCTGTGGTTCCACGTGTAGGTGCAGGAGAGCGAGAGGTGTCTCTAACCGTCAATGGTACTTACCATTTATTGTCCTCACTGTCATTCCTCTGGAACAAGGGTGGGCAATCATAGTAACTTTAAGAGCTGTGGACCTCAACTCCCAGAATTCCTGAGCCAGCCACAGTTGGCTCGGGAATTCTGGAAGTTAAGGTCCACACGTTGTAAAGTTGCCAGAGTGGCCTACATCTGCTCTGGATAGTCATTTTCCCAATTCAAGGTATGGTTGTTGAACTAAACCTTTACTTCCTCATGGCAAAGATACACAACATTTAAAGGCCAAGGCCTTCACTGAGATTGTCCACAGGAAGTCGCTGCCACACTTCAACAGCTGGAACCAGGGTTAAAACTCAGAGCTATGATGAATCAAGTTTGATTTGATACTGTGAATATCATTAATCCGATGAGTATATCAATTCTCATATTCCAAATTACAAATCAAGGGAAATTTTTTGGGACTGTTCCAAAAATTGGAGATTAGGCGACACAGTTGGCCTTGGGCCTCAAATTTGCCCCAATGTCTTTTGGACTTATATTTATGGCCTTCCTGATTCTGGGAAAACGTGTTGTTTTATCTCAGGCCATCAATTGGCTTAGCCAGGAGGTTGAGGTAAAGGATATGAAAGTGATAGAAAACCCCACAGCTCCTGATTCTCCCCCTGTGCTACTCTGGATTTTTATGCCATTGAATTTGAGGAAAGAGGACTGCTTAACTTTGGAGTGGGGAGACAAAATATAATGTTACACCCCCCCCGCCCCCAGTTTTTTTTATTTTTCTCCGAAGGCTTGTATATTACCTTCCATGTAAGAAACCCCCATCAAAATTCATTGGGTGGTCTCGATTGCATTTAACTCTGAATGCAGAGCTGGCTGAAAGGAGAAACTTTAGCTAGGCCATCCATAAAAACAAACAAATAAATAAATCCCTTTGCTTCCCGCTCCATCTCTTATCTCAGGGCTTACCTTTTTTTTTCCCTGTTGGTTGCTGCAGTTTAATTATAATTTAAATAGCTTGTAGAAAACAAAGTGATACATTTGATGAAAACAGAGAACTTGCTCCTTTCCCCACCCCTTTGCTTCCACCACAGTCAGACCTCTCCTTTCCCCACCCTTGAACAAAAAGGAAGTAAATTATGAAAGCATTGTTTTTAAAGCAACCTACTTGATCATTTGGGAATAATTCAGCACAGACTAAAGTGATAAGGGGTTGAATAAGCACAGAATTATCTCCTCTGGTATTCTTCTATTTTCAGAACTACCCGGGTGCTTCAATAGCCCCCTCCCGTCTCCCCAAAAGGAGGAGAAAGAAGAGAGCAAAGAGAAGTAGTAGGGGAAAATAGCCCCTTGACCTTCATTATTACCTATCAGTAGTTTATTAGACCGCATTGCTAAGTTAACATTTTTGTAGTGCAAGGTCACTAATGTAGTGTCACAAGGTCACCTAGGATGAAAATTGGTTCCAAAGAGGCTGCCAGTGTGTCTTAAGTGGACAAGAAAGAGACCAGAAGGGGAGAAGTCACTACAAATAAGCAGTGCAAGGTTAGGTGGGAATCACACAATTGAGTACAAATATAACTTTTCTATTTTGGTTAGGCTCAATTGTATATTTTTCTAGCCATCTGTTGGTTTCAGTTGGCTCAATCCTGATAAAACCCCATGTGTATTTTGGTGGACTGTTCTTCCAAGCGTGCAACTTGGTAGAAACCTTGGAAGAAATGCTTTCAAGAATATATACGGACTACCTACTTTTTGACACGTTTCACCCAAGAAGAGTATTTTACTGCAACGTTTCCATAAGGCAACATTTCCCTAATGCAGTTTTCTCCGCACCTTTATTTTCATAAATAAAGGTGCCTCAAAAATGATAGAACCAGGCAAAGGTGGTATTCAACAGGTTCTGACCAGTTCCGGAGAACCGGTAGCGGAAATGTTGAGTAGTTTGGAGAACCGGCAAATCTCACCTCTGACTGGCCCCACCCCCGTCTATTCTCTACCTCCTGAGTCCCAGCTGATTGGTTGGGTCTTCTTTTGTTGCCCTGCACAGGAGAATGGAGCTGGAAAGCAGGTTAGTGGGGTGGAGAGGGAATGGGTATTTTGCAGTATCCTTCCCCTGCCACGCTCACCAAGCCACACCCACAGAATTGGTAGTAAAAAAATTTGAATCCCACCACTGGAACCAGGATGCTTCCAGCTGCATGGATGCAACCAAGTTATGCTACTTGGGGTCATGTTTGCTATTTAAGAAAACATTGTGATGGGGAAAGTTTTTGTTTAACCAATGATTCACATGGAAAGGATCAGAATTTTTCAGCAGGTTTTTTGCTGGGGGGGGAAGGAATTTTAGCTTTTTGGCAAGTTTCCATTTTCAACCTATATTAAGGCTAGTCTAAGACTTGCCCCAAATTTTATGCTAGCAAAATTAAGCAGCATAATGGAAGGCACACTTTGAAGACTTCAAGCATGGGGTTGGATGCTGGAGATAGCTGCAAAACATCTGGTTGTCCATCCTTCCTTTAAAGAATGAAGAGGTGGCTTGTCTTAGTGACTAGGCCCATGCTTTGAATGCAATCCATTATATCAGTCAAAAAATTATTGGTGCTAAACTTGACATATATCAAGGGAAAAAAAAACTCATATGGGCCAAATTTCACATAGCTTATGTCCAGCAGTCTTGAAACTCACCCTTAAATCTTAAGACCATATGAAATACTGAATTCTGAATACGGCTTGTATATACTGTTTAAAAGAACCCCAGATACCATCAAGTCCTCACAGGTCAGTTGGTGAAGCCATTAGGATCCACAATTTAATTCCTGTCCACCATGGCCAGCTCAAGAAGAAATTCCAAAATGTTGTTTCTTTTCTTCTCCACCTCCTTTCTGCAAACAACAAAGGGCCTTTAATCCTTCTCCTTTATCCCCATCAATTAGGATTGCCCATTGCCTTCTTTATGTGTAAGAAAATCTTTTCCCCAGATGGAAATAAAACAAATCTTGACATCTTATAAGAAATCCATTTTGATGCAAGCTTCTGTCAATCCAGATAAACAGGGCGGGGGGGGGGGGGGAGACCCTTGATATTTGCCAGTAAGAAAGATATTATTGTGTGCTGCCCAGATGTAATAATAAGGATAAATGTCTATTGCCAGGAAGGATAGCTGGAATGCAATCAATTTGCTGCCAAGCACCTTTTCCACTGATAATTCTTCTCCTGTTTATATTCCACACGTTAGACAGTGATGTTAACAAAAGAAACCTCCACAAATATTCCAAGTTAATGCACAGAAGGAAGAAAAATTGAGAATTGCCCCAGCAGTACAGCAAGCAAGAATCGAAAAAGCAGAAATAATATCTGTTTACCTACAAACATCTCTGGCTTTATTCAAAGCATGTAAAATCCATTTACAGTAAGCAGAAACTTCTTCAGCTCAGGGAAAAGGTGCAGATTTTGTGTTCTACTCTGGAGTATTGGTTTTCCTTTTTATTTTGGAATCGGGCTCGTAACTCAGACCAGAGTTCCAGATACATGAAGGACTGTTAGTCTTTTGTCTATATTGATTGACATTGGAGACTTAGTTAATTGAATACCACGCTGTACAACATCCTGCCAAGACAGTTCATGGCATGGCCTTTTATCCTAAACATCCCGACTCCAGCATCCCCATTTCAAGAAAGACAGTTGTGTGATAAGAACATATTGGCTCTTAGATGTGCAGCATAGGCAGGGAACGAGGAAATTAAAACTCTGTGCAGCTCTTCTCCTCATATATGTAAAGCCCTCCATTTGAGGTAGGAGAAGAGGAATTAACATGCTAAGCTAAGCTTGCCAACTCATTCACTATGCCTAGGCTTCTAAACTCTCAAAAAGAGAAATTCCGGAGATTGAGAAGACTTTCAATGGCAAATTAGTGTTTCCCTGTTTTCCTTATTGGGATGTGGTGGTGAAGACGCTGAGCATGTCGATCAGAAAGGTTGGCAGTTCAGCGTTTTGAATCCCTAGCACTGAGTAACGGAGTGAGCTTCCATTACTTATCCCAGCTTCTGCCAACCTAGGAATTTGAAAGCATGTAAAACTGCAAGTAGAAAAATAGGGACCACTTTGGTGGGAAGGCAACAGCGTTCCATGCACCTTCGGTGTTTAGTCATGCCAGCCACATGACCACAGAGACGTCTTTGGACAGCGCTGCCTCTTGGCCTTTGTAACGGAGATGAATACCGCCCCCTAGAGCCGGAAATGACTAGTACATATGTGCGAGAGGAACCTTTACCTATTATGCTTATTAGAACATATGGAACATTTTGCATAAAGCAGTAGGAAAACTGCCTAGATTTCATTCATAATTCTATACCATGAAAGCAGTCCAGCATTCTGGGTATCAGAGAGTCAGTTTGTCTAGTGATTAAGGTGCTGCCTTAGAAACCAAGATATTGTGAGTTCGAGTCCCGCCTTAGGCATGAAAGCCAGCTGGGTGACTTTGTGCCAGCCATTGTTTCTCAGCCCAACCAACTTCATAGGGTTGTTACTGTGTGGGAAAAGAGAAGGAGAAAGGACTATTATGTATGTTCACTGCCTTGAGTTACTTATAAAGTAATAAAGGTGGAATAAAAAAATCTAGTAAATAAATAAATAGGATCCAACCGTCTACCCCTCCTTAATAAATGTCTTTTATGATAGGGAAAACATAAACTAGTGGCAATAAAATACAGGTAGGCAACAAGTGAAAGCCAATTGTGTCTACTGGGTACAGATAAATTCAACAGTAAGTTATACTGTATTAAAATGTAGGCTTCCTTCATTTCACATGTTCAAACCTGTCTACATGTTTAACACTCACCTTTTAAAATCTGCCCTTCTCTAACATTTCTTCTGCCATTATTGATGCGATTGGGATTAAATCCTGTTTTTCAATCAGGACCTGAACTCTAAACAATTTAAAAACTTCACCCAAATGAGTGTGCTTATTAGAGAAAATAATGGAACATTCATTATGTTAATAAACACTGATAGCAAAGTGCACACAAATCATAATATAAATGCTTATACAAACACACACACACATACATGCACATGGCATTACCAAACACATACAGATATGGGATAAAGGAGAATTAAGGCTGGAACATTTAGAAGATGAAAAAAAAAAAAAACATTCAATTTATCCCTAACTGGATATTTTTTTAAAAAAACAATTGTGGATGAGACAAAATGATCGCACAATTATTATTATTGTTTTAATTCACCTCTAGTGTGTCTTGGGTTATCAGCCAGGTACTTTTTTTAAAAAAAGTTATTGGATCAACAATGAGACTTGTTGGAGTGGAAACACAAATATGAAATATTGCTGGTTTTCAGGGCACTAAATTACCTCAATTTAAAAAAGAAAAAAAAGTTTAAACTGTTTGAAATCTTTACAATACACTTGATCATTGAAAACCCCTGGCAGCTGAAAATTCCATGGCAACCACACATCAAAACGCCTGTTGTGCAAAAGAAATAACAAAACCCTGAACACACACTTGCCGTGTGAATGCATGCACGATAAGAAACAGAGCAGAGCCGCCACCACCTCCGTCCTTTATTGCATTTAACTGGGACAGATTCTTGTCTGAATAAAAAAGTTATTGAATAAAAGGAATGTTTCTCCCCAAAACACAAGCAACGGCTTCAAAAGAAATAATATCATTCATTTATGCCTTTCCCCCCAGGGTTACTTTTTGGCCTTCATTTGATTTCAGAAAGGCCCTGAAGTCACAAATCTGCCACTCTTTTTTTAGGTTTGTTTTGTGAGGTAGTTTTTTTTTCCCCTCCTTCCCCGCTCCTGGGCTCTACAAATAAATTGGCAGCAAAGTCCTAAAAATAACGGCAACCAATCGTGCCACCATTTATATCCATGGCAACACTGTCTGAAGGCTTTAGCTGCCTGGAGATGGCCTAATGCTCATGTACCAAATGCCAGGTGACAAAGAGATTGGCAGCTTTCACAAGTTGATTCTGCCCACTGGGGCATGAGGCACCCGTTCCTGAATTCCAAAAAGTCTGTTTTCTCCCTCCAAGCACATTGCTGAGCTGTTCCCCCCCTTTTTTTTACAAGAATTAACACCCCGGGGCCATGTTTCCTTATCATCCTCCTAAAGGCAAGATGTTTCGCTCTTGCACTTATTCTACCTACCTGTTGCCTTTCCTTTTACTTCTTCTTCACCTGTGCCACCTTAATGGGATGGGCTGCAAAATGAAAACAAACAGCAGTTCAAATGACGGTGAGCCCCCTAACTCAGCCAGGTTAATGTTATTAGGGTTAATAACTCAGTAGTAAGTTCCACCCAACGCTGATGACCCGGAGTGTAACACAAACGTAACAAAATCCAAGACGTAAATAAATGTCCTTTAATGTCCTTTAAATAAATGTCCCTTAATTTGGCCCCACTATTCAATAATACTCATAAGTAGTCTTCAAAAGAAAGCAGTACAGTCTGAATTTAATGAGCAGATAGAGGTGAAATAAAAAACCAAACAAACTACAGTGATGAAATTTCCACAATGGAACAAGAGAAGTATTTACCAAATTCAAGGAGATAACAATGCACAGTCTGTTGGAAGGATGCCAACCAAGATAACTTCAGACCAAAATAAAACACGCTTTGTTTCCAGCGTTCGCTAGTACGCAGGTCCAAACTCTTATTCAGTTGTCACACCTGCATCCCTTGAAGAGGATCAAGGTCCTCTCCTCCCGAGGAGACCACATCTCTCCCTTATGCTCTCCTCCCTGCATGCCCTAGCAGATGGATAGGAGATGGGCCAGGGTCCTCCTCCGACTTCTCAGCCGGCCTCTGCCCTTCCCCAGCCTCCTCCACAACCTCCGGAGCCACAATTCCACTCCCTGCCGGCTGTTCCTCCTCTCCCTCAGAGCCAGTCTCCACCAGGGGCATGACACCAACTTTAAGCATGTCATTGGTGGGCACTCCATGTGAAACTAGTAAAGATGGTTGAACTTTCTCATTGGTGGGGGATCTCACAGGATCTTTTGACAGCTCTTTGCAGAGGAATGCCTTCGTCCCCTTTGGATGTAAATACTGCATACTAATAGGGCAACAAAACTAGCTAAAGAATAGAATACAGAATAACAGAATTGGCAGGGATCTTGGAGATCTTCTAGTCCAGCCCTCTGCTCAAGCAGGAGGCCCTATGCAGTTCGGGACAAATGTCTGTCCTGTCTTTTCTTAAACACCTCCAGTGATGGAGCATTTCTGGAGGTAAATCATTCCACTGATTAATTGTTTTCAATTTCAGGAAATTTCTCCTTAGTTCTAAGTTAAATCTTTCTTTGATAAGCTTCCATCATTACTTTTTCTCCTGCCATCAGGCAGTTGGGGGAATAAGTTGACTCCACACCCACCCACACTTTCTCTGTGACAGCCCCTCAAATTTTGGAAGACTGCTATCATGTCATCCCTCGTCCTTATCTTCATTAGGCCAGCCATGCCCAGTTCCTGCCATCATTCATCCTATGTTTTAGCCTCCAGTCCAATCATCTTTGTTGTTCTTCTCTGCACTCATTCCAGAGTCTCAACACCTTTTTTGGTATCATGGTGACCAAAACTGGACTATTGTGTGGCCTTGCCAATGCAATATAAAATGGTATTAGCACAAGATTGTGCACTCCTTTTGAATTCGGTTTATAAGTGTACAAAGAAACTGGAGGCTGAAGTGAACATAGAGATTGTATCTCAAATTAACATTGGGGGAATGTGAGATGTTCATTTAATTCCTCAGGATATCAAGCCAGCTTGGAAGAAAATATTTGAAACAGAGGTGTGTTAATCCTAGGAGAACTATCCTTTTTTTTTTTTTTAGAAAAGACTTAAAACTATTTCATGGTCTTCGTTAGTCTTTATGTCTGAGTCCCTGCTTAGTTGGTTAGTTGGGACAAAGCAAAGATTTGTGTGAGAAAGAAGTCAGAAAGCAGAATGGAGGATAGGAAAGTTGGAGGAAGGTGATTGTGATTTGTGTAATAAACAAGGTTGCCTGCCAAATTCTGCAAGGAAATGGGAGTTAAGTTAAGCCAATCCCTTTTGCTGCCCCTAAACTTTGTAATAATTTATCATGACGTTAGCTGAACATTGCTACATGGGAACACTAAAATTACTCCAGTCATCACTGATTAGGGAATGGAGTTAAGCACCAAGAGTGCATTCACAGAGATACACCCCTTACCTAATCCTCTCTTTGCTTTTTCCATTTTGATTGCTAATGCTTCTTATTAAGAATGCGAAGGGCCCCTTTGGTTTTGCCCCTCTTAGACTGCCCTGCCGATTAGACAGAAGATGGAAGGAGGTTTTTTTGTGTGTGTTGTGCTGTGGTGCCCTCTGCTGGTCACTGCATCTATTCCAGCCTTTCAGCAGATTTAAAAGACGAGAAGAGCCTTGCCTTCCATGACGTTCCCTAAATTAGAATCCCAATTTTGCCACGCTGCTTCAAGTTCGACCCAAGAATAAAACAAATAATTGGCAGGAAGCATTGGCAGGTTAAGCTTCAGTTACCTTGCATGGCACACATTCAAACGAAATTGTGAACTAAAAAAGAACCACAATTTTTTGCATTGATCAGGAAAAGAAAAGAATAAATCAAACTACAAGCAGTCCTTTAACTTATGACCACAGCTGGAAACATAATTTCTGTTACTAAGCAAGGCATTAGTTAAGTGGGTCATACCTAATTTTAAGATATTCTTGCCACAGTTGTTAAGCGAATCCAGCTTGCCCCATTGGCTTTGCTTGTCAGAAGCTGCCTGGGTAAACTGCAAATGGACATCAACATAACCCCAGGATGCAGCAACCATCGTAAATATATGCCGGTTGCCAATCCCCCAAATTTTGATCACATGACCCTGTGGAGGATAAACACGCCCAGATGAATGAGTTCAGAAATTCCAAGTTCATCCCAATACCATTTTGTATTTTGTGTCACCATAAGCACAGTGGAGAAATGGGATGATGTTCTAAATATGATCAGCTAGTTGCCCTACAAAAGTCAAACGTGCGAGAACCAGCTGTAAGTTGGCTTTTTTCAAAAGTCATAAGTGTGAGTCAGGATTTTCAAAAGTCATAAGTGTGAGGAGCAACAGTAAGTCAGGATTTTCAAAAGTCATAAGTGTGTAAGTCAGGACTTTCAATCCCAATGTAACTTTGGTCTCTGAATGAAAGGTTGTAAGTCGAGGACTATCTGTAAGCACTCTTTCATCACCACTTTCTCTCTCCTTCCTTCCCAGGACCTCCTATCATCTCCAGCACACAGACCCAGCATGCTCTCCATGGAGAAAAAGGCCAGATTAAATGCTTCATCCGCAGCACGCCTCCACCAGACCGAATCGTGAGTTTGGGACCGCGTGTGAATGACACTGGGCATACCAATAGCAATAGCACTTAGACTTATATACTGCCTCACAGTGCTTTCCAGCCCTCTCTAAGTGGTTTTACAGAGTCAGGTGAGATTTGAACTGCAGGCAGCTGGCAGTCAGCAGAAGTAGCCTGCAGTACTGCACTCTAACCACTGCGCCACCACCTCATATATTAAAGAGAAGAACATTAGGAGCATTTTCAACATCCTTATCTCACCCATCTTGCCAGCCATGACTACCCATCTACCCACTCACTCACCCATCTGGGTAGTATTTTGTGAAAATGTCAGAACATCTCTCTGCATTTCCCAAACATTTTGAGGGCCTCTGTTGTAGTTCTTCCATGGCCTGGGTGATGAATAGGCAATGGGGTTACGTTTTTATCATTTGTATTGTGCTCTTACTAGGCAAATAGCAATAGCACTTAGACTTATATACCACTTTACAGTGCTTTACAGCCCTCTCTAAGCAATTTAAAGAGTCATCACATTGTCCCCAACAATCTGAGTCCTCAATTTACCGACCTCGGAAGGATGGAATGCTGAGTCAACCTTCAGCCTGGTGATTCGAATAGCCAAATTGCAGGCAGCCAGAAGTCAGCAGAAGTAGCCTGCAGTACTGCACGCTAACCACTGTGCCACCACAGCTCATATTATCAATCTATCATGATAATAGATCGATATCCGAGGGTTAAATAAATATTTCCAGAGTTTAAGCAACAGAGGGAGAAAGAGGGAATAACATAGCAAATCAAGCAGTATATGCCAATTCAAAACAGAACTATTTTTTTTCGCCGGAAGATTGAAAAAGGAAAAATCAGATTGACTGTAGCCACTTCCTGTAGCCGAAGAGCCACCCCTGAGAAGGTGTTTCTCCTGTTGCTACCCAGCAAACCTCATTCAGAAGAGGTGATAAGGGGAGGGTGAACCCTCCGATGTGTCCTTTCATGAAGAAATAGACTGACGTGGATAAAGTTAAGATAGTATATAAGATTTTTTACCTTTCTGATGTCCCTTATTCATGGATGTCAAGAAATAGTAAATAAACAGTTGGTTCTCGACTTACATCAGCTCATTGAGGGTTCAAAGTTATAATGCCACTGGAAAAAGTGACTTATGACCAACACTTATGACCATTGCAGTATCCTCATGGCCATGTGATCAAAATTCTTGGCAACTGGTGTGTATTTTTGAAGGTTGCAGGGTTCCTGGGTCACGTGATCCCCTCTTGCAGCTTCTGACAAGTAGCAATAGCAACAGTCCTTAGACTTATATACTGCTTCACGGTACTTTTACAGCCCTCTCTAAGCAGTTTTACAGAGTCAGCATGTTACCCCCACAATCTGGGTCCTCATTTTACCCTCCTCAGAAGGATGGAAGGCTGAGCCAACCTTGAGCCTGGTGAGATTCAGTCTGCCAAATTTCAGCCGGCAGTCAGCAGAAGTAGCCTGCAGTACTGTACTCTAACCACTGCACCACTGCGGCTCTTCCCGGTGCTAGAATCTCTTAACAACCGCGTTACCAACGTAACAACCGCAGTGATTCACTTAACAATGGTGGCAAGCAAGGCCGTAAAATGGAGTCAAAAGCTGCCTCACTTAGCAACATAGCTTTTGGGCTCAATTGTTGACTTTGTGCTCCATTTGGCCTTGTACAGCTAATTGGCAATTTAGTCGTTGGCAGCATTTCAAGGGAGATAAAGATGGGTGCTTATCAGCCTTCTCCTGAAAGACTGTGGCAGACTTCTGTTGGACTGTTTGGGACTCATGACAGGCTGTGAATGCGTATAATTCACAGCCATTGAAATAAAACAAAAAAAGTTTTGGGAACAGCGTGTGATTGTTACTGTCTCGGGAAGCCTTGGTCAGAACGGTAACTAAAAAAGCATGAGCAATTATAATTCGCTTTAATCTTCAGGCCTGGTCGTGGAAGGAAAACGTCTTGGAGTCTGGAACTTCGGGGCGATACACAGTAGAAACTGTCAGCACCGATGAAGGCGTCATCTCTACCTTAACCATCAGCAACATCGTGCGGGCGGACTTCCAGACCATCTACAACTGCACTGCCTGGAACAGTTTTGGTTCGGACACGGAGATCATACGTTTAAAAGAACAAGGTGGGGATTGCTTCATTGGTATTTCGAAATCAGAAAGGGAGTCTGGGAGACCCCTGGGTGGAATGGAGAGAAGGCTTTCCCACTGGACGTGAGAGAGGCAGGATTAAAATAGGATGAAATGAAAAACACAAGGTTTTGGCATACCTGGGGGCCTGGCTTCCTAGTGGGAGAAATGTTAAAAGGCCATGTTTATAGCAGTACAGGCGTTCACAAAGAACCCAAGAGGATGGAACAGCAGTTTCAAAGGCTGGCGAGTCTCTTCAGCTTAGGAAAACGTGACAAAGAATGTCCAAAGTCTGACTCTGATCTAGAGGAACAATAATCTGATTAAGAGCAATGAAAGGAAAAGCCTTAGCTTGTGCCTGTATTATTTAATGATGATATGAAAGTGTAAATTGATTCATTACATGCTTATCCTAAATCAAACCTATTCCTGCTGAGCATTAACCAAGTTTGAGACTACTTAGAATTCTTAGATGCACCGAACAAAGAGTTAATCTATATATTGCACAATTCATAACTTGTATTTCTTCAAATTTCTCTAATGAGATCATTACTTTGTTGAGATTTTCATTTTGTTTTGATCAAACAATCTTCGATTGATTCAAAGGAAATCATGGAATTAATGTCTATAGCCAATCAGATACAGGGAATATCTTCTCTTACATATAGAGAGAAAATTATGTTGCACTTGGACTTATTGCTGATCTTTGGAGCATTGACAAAATATGACATGCTTCTGCCCTTGTTTGTGGTCATTTCTTCTTTCCCATCTCATTTAATATGTAAATTTAATTAGATGAAGATAAGGGCTTTAATTTTTTGCTCTTTGGCTCACCCATTTCTTTCTGTTCTGCCTTGCCTCCTGTAGAAAATACAAACCCTGACCAAGCACTGAAACTCAGTGGTGGCTTTTAACTTTTTGTCCTTATGGTGCACTAACATGATTTACATATAAATTGAATTCATACTAAATTGTTTTAAGCAAAGCTATGTTTCAGTGACATGCCTGCAGAACAAAATTGCACCGAGTGAGAAGAAAGGTTTCTTCAGAATCTGAATACAGACAGATGAGTTCAGAAAGTTCTAGCTCATCCCATTAGGAATTTGTGTTTGTGTCACTATAAACACAGTAGGAAAAAATGGGATGATGCAACTAGTTGACCTACAAAATGATCTAGTTCTGTTCCCAGACAGAAAACTTTGAGAAGGGAACATCGAAAGAGTTGAAGTTGTGTTAAATAGAAGTTAAGAGTGGAGTTCCTATCTTGCCACACTAAAATGTGGATGTGAACTCAAAAGCAGTAGAAACCACAATGAAGTAAAAGTTTATAGGGTTTATTAGCAAAGCTGTAGTAAAATGTAGTCTGGAGTCCCAGGAGAGAAGAGCTCTTTCCCAGAGGGCAAAGAGACAGAGGGAATGTCTGGCAGGCAAGAAAAGAGCAATGTCGAACCCACCCTAACACTCAAAGATTATGTCTATAGAGATGGCAGATAATTGCTTTAGTCTGGCAAGATTCTGTCTGTAGGCGAACAACAATAAAGGAACTACCATAAGTAACTCAGCATGTCACTCTTGGTTCTTTGGGCCAGGCATTAATCTTGCCAGACTAAAGCAATTGTCTGGAATAATGATAGATATTCTAAAAGGAAGAGATAACAATCTTAAGCTAAAAGGCATGAGAAGATAACCAATTAGGGCAGGCGGGAAAATTACAAAACTTGTGTACGTCGGGGAAAATAAGCTTTAACTAATATAGCACAAGCATGCAGAAGAGAAGCCATTTTATACTGGAAGGGAAAGAGGGAAATGGGATATACCCAGTGGTGGGATTCATTTTTTTTTTTTACTACCGGTTCTGTGGGCATGGCTTGATGGGTGTAGCAGGAGAAGGATACTGTAAAATCTCTAGTCAGAAGTGATAATTGCCAGTTCTCCGAACTACTCAAAATTTCTGCTACCAATTCTCCAGAACTGGTCAGAACCTGCTGAATACCACCTCTGGATATACCATTTAAACCTCCTTACCTTTATATTGATCTTCTGCATTAGCACTAGAATCATAGAAAGGAGGCTGGATACCGTAATTTCTTTGGGGATTATATATTACAGATATGATGAGCTTTCTTCAGATTTTGACTTGTAAATAATGGTTTGGAGAAAATGGCCTGCCCTGTTATCTATTTTAGATTTTCATGAGTACCCAGTCACTGTTCTGCAAGTTTTAATTGCGAATTTCCCCTTCCCATTTCATTTTTGATCTAGTGATCCATCCTGGGATTATAGGCTCAGAAATATAACACTGTATATAGCGAATCTGATTTAGTCATTTGTTGAAATCAACAGTCATTCATCAAACCTACTTACAGGGTGGGCTATATTTCCTGTTTAGTCACATAAAATGGAAATTAATCAAGGAGAAAAGCAACCTAGAACTAAGAAGGAATTTCCTGACAGTTAGATCAATTAACCAGTGGAACAACTATCCTCCAGAAGATGCAAATTCTCCAACATAGGGTTTTCTGCCTGAGCAGGGGGTTGGACTAGAAGACCTCTAAGGTCCCTTACAACTCTGTTGTTCTAAATTCTAAAAAATTTAAAAGGAAATGCTCTTGATTGAAACATGATTATAATTTTAAAGGTTCCCTTTTAACCAACATAGAATAGGGATAGGGGTAGGGGTAAAGATAGGGATAGGATTAAGACTAGGAATAGGGCAGGGCAGGGCAGGACAAGACAGTTGGAAGAGATCTTGGAAGTCTTCTAGTCCAACCTCTTGTTCAAGCAGGATATATAAATGCCCTATACCATTTATACATTGATTCTGTAGGGTCTCCAGTTCCATCACTTCCTCTTAAGAGTGGGCATTTGGACTGTTCTCATTAAGTTCTCACTTAAAGGCAAGGCTACCTTTCAGATTAAGCTGAAATTAAATAGACTTAAAGTCAGCCTTGGTTTCAGCCCAGTGCAAATAAAGTTTGCAGATTGTTTTCCTGTTGCCCGCCTTCCCCGGGCAAGCGGATGCTATTTGCAGCTCTAAGAAAGTGGATCCCAGTAAAGTACTTGCGAGGAGTTGTTCAGTTGTTCATAATACAGATAAATGTAATTAAAGATCATTTGAGATGGACTACTGTTCTGCAGAGCTCATAAAAAAACAGGTGACTGCTGACTGCCCAGCAGTCTTGGGAAGCAGACAGCTCTGCCAAAAATAGCAGCCTCATTTTGATGTAGGTTGAAAAGCTACCGGTTGATTTATAATGGCTGAGCCTATAGGAGAGGGAATAACGTTTCCAACAATTGCTTTTCCAACTGCCAATCTAATCATACATACAACGGTCCCAGGACTATAACCCTTTTGCCTATAAGTTCAGTGCTGAATGTTTGAATGTTCCCCTGGATTTTAAAACATTCTGCAGATGGAAAGCTAAAATACCTTGCCCACCATTCAGCTAAATTCGTTTCCTAAGAAAATAGGTTTCCACAAGTAAGGCTTTCTTTTCTTTTCTGTTCTTTTCTTTTCTTTTCTATTCTTTTCTTTTCTTTCCTTCCTTTCTTCCTTTCTTCCTATCTTCCTTCCTTTTCTTTCCTTCCTTCCTCTTCCTTCCTTTCCTTTTTTTCTTCCTTCCTTCCTTTCCTTCCTTCCTTTTTCTTTCTTTCTTCACAGAAATATGCAGTCTTGCAAAGAGACCCCATGTGCAGGGATAAGAGGGTGGTAAATTATGCCCCAGTAGCAATTTCCTTCAAGTATATTTTGAAATATGATGGACACTCCATCGGGTGTTGCTCAACGTCCAGAGGCAACTCTGCATTTTGGAACCCCCTAACTCTTGCAACCAGTGGGGCATAGACCCTGAAGCTGCCTTTGGAAGTGATGGGCAAAACCTCCAAGGGATTCTCTTACTCCGGGGGTCTTCAGACTTGACAGCTTTAAGACTTGTGGACTTCAACGCCCAGAATTCCTCCTCCAGTCATGTTAGCTCAGGAATTCTGGGCGTTGAAGTCCACAAGTCTTAAAGTTGCCAAGTTTGAAAGACCCTTGCCTTACTCTATAAAAGTCAACCCTGGCAAAAGCAATAACTGACTGACGTTGCAGTTGGGCGTTGGCTGTAGACACTTGCTTTATTTTCAAACAGGTACGGAAATGAAGTCAGGAGCTGGTATGGAAACAGGTATGGAATTATGGGTGAAGGTGACTCTTTGAATTGAACTCCCCCCCATCTCCCAAGCTAACCCCAATGAAACAGGAATGCCATATCCATTAACAGGAGGTAAAAGGATGCCTGAGAGAGGAACCATTGTTGGAAGGGGTTGGTTAGCCTTCAGAATCCTCGGGTTCTTTCAAGTTCTCCCATTCCTGCAAGTCCTCCCACTTTTCCAAATGGGGAAGGGCTAAAATTCACACGATGACTACCGAGATGATGAGCGCGAAGAAGAGGATATCTTGCTTATCCTTAGACCCAGAGCTGGAAAATGCCCCATGAATGGCCTATTAACATGTTCTTTAAGCCATGTCCCACTGACTGAACCTCATCTCTAAAATGAATTGCTGCTGGCATGTCAAAACGACCACAAGCAAAATTCAATTTCAGGTATAGCCTATACCTCCCTTCTTCGCTAAATTAACAGCAATTGTCTCCCAGAGAGTTTACTTAATGTTTTTGCCAAGCTTGTGGGAATCCAAGGAATTAACCATGGTTAGATACTTCGGGGCAACAGAGATGATCGTTCCAATGCAGGAATTATTTTGCTGACTTAAGTTTACCATGTTTCTGAAAACTGCTTTTTGCAAGCTTCTTCCCATCCCATCATCCTGCTCTGCTCTGGGCTATTTTCTTTGCATGAGCCCCGTCACAAACCATCTTCTCTCCATGTTTGCATTTGTTATTAAGACCTTATCTTCCCTTCATAAGAGCTTCTCACTTACCTCTGGATCAGCCTGTGTGTTACTCTGAAACCTTGGCTGCCTGCATCTTTCCTGTTCCACCCACATTCCAAAATGGTTAAGAACAGGAAAAATCATCATCATCATCCTCTTTTAACAATGCCCATAAGTGCTTGCGGGGTAGAGTCTGGGCCGGATGCCCTTCCTGTCACCAATGTGGAGGGTTTTTTTTTCAGCAGATATATTCTCAATGAGCCCAGCGAGAGAAATATCTGCCTCTACCTAGGATCGAACTCACAGCCTCCTGATTATGAGGCGAGAGCTCCATCTCTAGGCCACCACACCACTCAAGAACAGGAAAAATGTTTCTCCTAAATTCACATTCCTTTGGGCCTAATCTTGCCATGGGTCATTAGCAGACAGAGTAAGGCTCGCAATTTAAAGCAGGCGGCCATTGCTGTGTTATTTTGGCATTTCACTCTCTCCCCTCCAACCTCGTCTCCCTCATCCATCAGGCTGTCAGGGAAAACCAAGATTATCCCAGTTAAGAACCTGGAGGATCGTTGTAGGTGGCTTCCAAAATCAAGTCGCCGTGCATGACTTTAAAGCTGCATGATTCTCAAGGTCATTCATGATGGCGGAGATGGCGGTGTTGGTGGTGGTGGGAGGAGACTAAAATGGCAAGATGGCTTCTTCAGCCATGTAATCCAAGCCCTGCTCTTTTCTTATGTGTGATGGGCAGAAGGAATAACCTTGAGGAACAGGAGGAAGAACCGCAACCAAGACAATGGTGAGATAAAAGAAATACGAGTCTGGGACAGGAATGCGATTTGAGAAAGCATCTCAAATCATGACCCTCCCCGCTTCTCATACAGAAAAAAGGAGGGTGGGGGAAGGTGCATTAAGACTTGCAAGATTCTGTTACTATAATATTTGATATACAGGTAGTCCTTGACTTACAACTCTTCACTGAGTGGCCATTCAAAGCTACAACAGCACCAGTGGTGGGATTCCATTTTTCTTTACTACCAATTCTGTGGGCGTGGCTTGGTGGGCATGGCAGGGGAAGGATACTATAAAATCTCCAGTCAGAGGCGGTATTTGCCGGTTCTCTGAACTACTCAAAATGTCCGCTACTGGTTCTCCAGAACTGGTCAGAACCTGCTGAATACCACCTCTAAACAGCACTGAAAAAAAGTGACACACAGCCAGTGTCCCACTGTGGCCATCCCAGCATCCTTACAGTCATGTGATCAAAACCCAGGTGCTTGACAACTAGTGTGTATTTACAACGGTTGCAATATCCCAGGGTCCCTTTTGCAACCCTCCTTCCCGGCTGGTTTCCAATAAGCAAAAGTCATTGGAGAAGTCAGATTCACTTAAAGACCTGTGATTCGTTCAGCAATTTGCTTAGCAACCATGGCAAAAAGGCCATAAAAGAAAGCACAACTCACGTAACAGCCAGCTCGCTTAGCAACGGAAATGCTGTTCCAAATGGTGATCATAAGTTGAGGACTACCTGTGTTAAACTTTATAATATAAGTAGTATTAGCTTGCATGTCTTTGGTTTTCGAATTTGGTTGACCTTAGAGGGATGACACACACACGCATTGTACATTGAAAGGGGAGGAGCAAGGCTTTAATCACACAGTTGTGGATGCCATCTTATTATTTTTTTTCCCCTTTCTGCCCACAGGGACCATCACTGTCATTTATTCATTTGATATACTTGAAATATTTCTAGACCTCTTTTAAGGACAGAATTTTCCCAAGGTGGCTCATAATCATTAATTTGTAGCTATAAAAGCACTATAAAAATAAGAATAACGGTAACAGTAAGAACGAGGAGAAGTTAAAACAACCCATCCCAGAAAGCAATCTCAAACAGGTAAAAGAACAGTTCAGCAAAATCCATTTAAGTCAAGGCCAGAAGAAGCAGCTGCAAAACTTTTCTGGAAATCTGCAGGAGTGGGTCCCGAATCAATTCTGCAGGCAATCTGGCCCTCAGTAATGGAACGGGGACCAAGAGATGGATCAAGATCTTGAACATTGGCAGAAAAAGAAAGATGCAAACCAACCAACCAACAAACAAAAGATCTATAGGAATTCTTGGATAGGCAAACCAGCCTCAGATCTGTTGGATTATATTGGAAAAAGCTGAAGCTACAAGCGCATTGTAATCTGCACTTTTCAGAATATGGGAGCTAGAGTCCACACACACAAACACACACACACACACAAAATAGACAAACAATAAACATATCAATAGCAATGGACAAAAACATATAGATCAGTGGTTCTCAATCTGGGGTCTGCGGACCTCTGGGGGGGGCCTGTGATTTCATCACAGGGGGTCCACGGAGATTTGAAGAAATGCTACGATTTAAATCTTAAGTCTTGCGGGTCCGTGGCCATTGTCCGTGGCCACAAAAGGTACTTAAAGGGGGGCCATGGTAAAGAGAAGGTGGAGAACCCCTGAGCGAGAGTACTCTTTCTCAAGCATGGAAGCTTGAAGATCGACTTCAACTCCCAGAATTCTGGGACTTGAACTCCATGCCTCTTCAAGTTTCCATGCTTGAAAAACACTGGACTAGAAACAGCTAAAAGAAAGAAGAGAAGCTTTTCACTAAAGGTATTTAAAGGTCTGTAGTGAAGAAAAGAGAACCACCAATATAGAGCACAGAAAAAGTCAGGTTGGTAGGGATGCAGAAGCTATAAGGCCCACTCTCAGTTTTACCCCTCCGAGGCTGACGCTGTTTCACTCTAGCCTTAGAAAGCGATACCTGATTTATCCGACAGCCTTGAAAATGTCACCCTAAATCTTTGGACAACCTTTCCAACACACAAAATACACAAATAAAAAGGAAGGTGAAAAAAAACCCCAACCCATCATCCTTCTGATCCAGATAGCAGCAAATAGCTATTTGCAGGTACACAAAAGAATGGAAACGCATATAAAGCCCCGTGCCCTTGATATTGTCCTTTTGTCGTGAAACCACACCTCTAATCATTCCCCGATCACACACACAAAAGCGTGGGAAAGGGATGAAAAGCAGAAGCATGAATTGTGCCATTAAGACCGAACAGGCTCCCTCTCACCCATCGTAGATCCCTAACAGCAGCCCAGACAGAGACGGGGAAAGTGCCAGATGGCATCTACTGGTGTCTCCATTGTTTGCTGAGACACCTGCAAGCAGAGGGCATTTTAAATAACAATGGTTGCTGTCATAGATTTGAAATAAGCACAATCGCTTTCTCACCCTGGAAGGAAAAAGAGACGTATATTTCCACTGTAAAGGAAAACAGACAATGCATCACCATCTGAAGGTACGGCAGGGCTGGAAAAAAAAAAACAATTTATGAACAGCCCATGCACTTACGACTATTGCAATACAGGAAGTCCTTGACTTACAACAGTTAATTTAGTGTCCGAAGTTACGACATTCCTGAAAAAAGTGAGTTACGGCCATTTTTCACACTTACGGCCATTACCGCTTCCCCATGGGGATGTGATCAAAATTCGGCTGCTTGGCAACTGACTTGTATTTATGACAATCGCAGTTTCGCTTTTGCAACCTTCTGACAAGCAAAGCCAATGGGGGGAGTCAGATTCTGTTAAAAACCCTGTTACTAACTCTAACAGTTGCAGTGATTCACTTAACAACTGAGGCAAGAAAGGTCATAAAATGGGGGGCGGGGGGAAACTCACTTAACCGTCTCCCTTAACAACAGAAATTTGAGCCTCCATTGTGCTTGTAAGTCGAGGACTACCTATCTTCAGGGGTGCAATTCAACCGGTATAACAACCGGTTTGGTGAGTGTGTGCTTTGCGCATGCACGCGCATATGCCAAATGCATGCTCCACGTGCGTGATCCGCATGTATAAAAGCTAATACTTCCCTTCAACTGCAGCTGAAGAAAACAGCTGAGGCATGGAAAAACGCTCTGCCGCGCAAATCAGCTGTGCTCTAACAAAAGGACATTAAAGCACAGGAAAGAACAGGGGCCGGCCGGCGGGAGGGCCCACATGCTCGTCGGAGTGAACCAGTTTGGAGCCTGCTGATGATCGGAACAAGGGGTTCTCCCAAACCGGTCTAAACTGGACGAATCCCACCCCTGCCTGTATTCCTGATTAAAATGTAAGTGCTTGGCAGCCAGCATGTATCTGAAACAACCCTCCCAGGAGACTTTTGACAAACAACGCCAATGAGAGAAGCCAGATTTGCTTTAATGACCACATTATTCACTTAAACGAACAAAGCAAATCACTTAATGACAGGAGTTCTGGTACAGATTGTAACTCAAGGACTATGTATTCAGACTGCCTGTCAGGCTCCAAAATTAACTTGACTGGCTCATAGAATTTCAAACTTGATTTGATATCTTGATGAGGCCTACATAATGAAAATCTTACATCACCACGCTTTCCTAATCAGTAGGGCATCACCTCCGAGAACACACCTGCTATAAAAGCAAAGAAGGTTCATGTATAAGAGGAAAAATTTTCCACTGATTTATTCGGCTTTAACAAATTCCCTTTGCACTGCGGAGAGTGTCTGTGTTCCCTAAAGCTATCTCCTGGTTCTTCCATATTCCATCTGGAATTATTCTTCAAACCCCACAAGCAACTGTGATGATTTCCAAATCCGGTAAATGAAAGTGGCCAGAATCAAAACTAGGCAAGACCTGACCTGAGAGACAGTTTAATCTTACACATTATGGGTGACATGAAAGCAAGCCAAATTCACAGGAATACACCAAACCGTTTCTTTAATATATCTGCAATCCTATGGAAAATCAATGAAGTTGTCAGGTGTTCCCACCAATATTTACTGTTCGTCTACCCAAATGTGAACTGCAATAGTTTACGCTAACTGACATTTCTAGCATCTTCAAGGACAATGCTAAGACTAATGCATTGAACTGTGTAAACTTAAAGTCACCCAACAATGAATGAACAAGACCAGGTTTTCATATCCCAAAGGTGCTTTTTCAAGAGGCAACTGGACTTTCTGGTTTTTCTTTGAAGAGCAAAGAAGCTTGGATGAGAAGTGAAAAGTCTTCAAAGAAAAACCAGAAAGTCCAGTTGCCTCTTGAAAAAGCACCTTTGGGACAACTATGACCTGGATGACTAAGAATCTCCATAGATACCGAGTCTCCTTGTTACAGCTGGTTCATGAGTCTGATACGTTTTTCTTGTGAATTATCCACTTTATCTTTCAACAAACTAAGTTTCACAATTTTTGATGTTTTTCTTGTGAATTGTCCACTTCTTTCAAATGACAAGTGAATCTGTGTGGAGACTTGAAAACATGCAGTCTTTTGTAGAACTAAATATCACAGTTGTTGTTTTTTTAATCTGTCACATTTCAGGCTGGACATTTAAGTTTGCGCTGAAAAGCTGGAGATGTCTGGTTCTCCATATCATATCAATCACCAGATAACAAGTTTAAAAAAAAATGTGAACATAATACTCCCTTGAATTCTTCTCCTGATCAGTGGATCTTTTTCTTTCCCAGATATTTGTTTCCTTCTTCCCATGTATAGTTTGGGATTAAGGTTATGCTAAGATATCTTGAACCACGGTGGCTCAGTGGTTAGAGTGCAGTACTGCAGGCTACTTCTGCTGACTGCTGGCTGCCTGCAATTTGGCAGTTAAAATCTCACCAGGCTCAAGGTTGACTCAGCCTTCCATCCTTCCGAGGTGGGTAAAATGAGGATCCAAATTGTTGGGGGCAATATGCTGACTTGGTAAAACTCTTAGAGAAGGCTGTAATGCACTGTAAAGTGGTATATAAGTTTAAGTGTTACTGCCATTGCTATATTTTACTGGCCCAAATATGTTTTTTCCCTCCCTATTCTGGCAACAGAAGCTAACAGGATCACTTGTTAAATCTACCCTTCTTATTATCCTGGTGGGAGAATACCATTTTCTACTGCCGCTTTATGAACTCAAGAGAAGTAGAAATGTCCCCAGACCAAGAATGAAGTCTTCAAACAAAGAGCAAAACAGAATGACTTGGGGTTCAGCCAAAGCTTGACTGTTCCTCAACACCTACCACTTTACATAATGGTAGGGCTGCTCTTGAGATGGAGACGGTAATACCAGGTGAAGAAATAGCAATATATTATTTATCCCCCAGGAATGTAAGTCTATTTTGGTAGGTTCTCCTGCAGCCAAAGGATGGAAAAGCTTTTTCCCTTCCTTTCACATCACATACCATTTCTTCATCAACCTTTCACAAATATAACTTGCAATCATTTGTATGGGGGTGCAGGGACTCTCCATATGGGCTCTGAAATCTAAACACTGGCTGGATTATTGGGAGAGATGGAGAAGACGTAAAATGACAGAAAAGTTGAATTTTTGACAGCTGCTAGTTTTATTCCATGTTCCTATATTTCACTCCCACTTCCTCAGAATCATTTTTGACAAGCAACAATTAATTTAGACAGCATGTCCTCAGCCCAAAGTACCGTTCAATCATAATCCGTTACAAAGCAGAAGCTAAGCAAGAACTAACCAAGGATTTTTTAAAAAAATTGTATTTAACTTTTCAAAAATTTACCCATGGGATTTTTATCCCATACATTGAGTCATTTTGTGACATAATGGTAGGAAGTGTTGAGTTAACTTCCTTCTGGAGAAGGTCTATCTCTGTGGTCACTATAAACAAAATAAATAAATACACAAATAATCATTTCACGAAGTAGACAGCACACACAGAGCCATTCAGGAACATAACCACCAAACTATGGTTTGGAGGCATGCTTGAACCAAGAATTATGTTGGCATCCTCAGATGTCATCCTAAATCACTGTGTATAAAGACCAGCAAGTCTTATCTTGCAGGTTCTCCATCCTCAGCACTGATTCATGAAGGGGATGCTTTTAATGCTTCTTCAAATTCAGATGTAATCAGATTTTTCTTTACAAATAGAAGTGGTTGCTTTCAATGTTCTCCAAAATCACAATCACAGAGAACAGTATGTGTCTAAAATTGAGTGAGATGAAATAGAAGTTTGAAGAAGCTGCTATCAGTAACAGAACTAGGAAGGATAAATTTAGTCAAGCCATGCTCATAAAGATGATTCAACAGAAGGATTTCAAAAACTTCAAAAGCTTTTCTTCCGGTTGAAGCAAAATAGCTTTAAATAACAAAGTAACCTATCCTGTACCCTTCAATAAATAATATACTTGGTCTGCAAACACTCAGAAACCCAAACCAAGTGCACAATATTAATTTTACTTCTATCAAAGCCACTATCTCTGTCCTCAAGAGAGGTCTCGATATTTCAAGTAAACAGCCCAAAAGGATTGGATCCTAGCCAGACTTGGCAGCCAAAAGTTGACAACACAGATGATCCAGGGGTTAGTGACTCAAAATAAGCTAAACCCACATGTTCATTCCCACTTCATCATAGTCTGTCATGCATTTCTAACCCTGTGTCCATTTCATTGAGTAGGAACTAGTCTTACTAATGATATGGGCAAATGTGAGAATAAATAATGACTTGAGAATAAATAATTGAGGTCTTGGTAGTAAGCATGGAGCAAGGAAAAAGGAACAGAAGGATTCCTTCTCCACTTCATTTGTTTTCTTGTTTCTTCCAGAGTCAGTGCCCATGGCAGTCATCATAGGTGTGGCCGTTGGAGCTGGGGTGGCTTTCTTAGTCCTGATGGCCACCATTGTGGCTTTCTGCTGTGCTCGCTCCCAGAGAAGTAAGTTATTTTTCTTTTTAGTTCATTGACTGTCACTATGGAATCACATGCAGAACTCAACAACCAATAATCAAGACTCACTGAAGTATTTATACATTTAGTAGTGTGTACTGGAGTGGGTCCTTTCCAGAAGAATAGTGTTAAACACAGCCCTGTAGTTATTTATACATTTCAGAAAGGAGGGGAAGTGATTCATTCATATACAAATAATAACAGAATAGATCTTAAGTCATTTCTGTTATCTGCAGAGATTGATGATGGTCTTGTTAGAAGAGTAGGTCAACCAATTCTCCAAAGCACCTGAAGGCAGGACAAGAAGCAATGGTGGAAACTAATCAAGGAGAGAAGCAACCTAGAACTAAGGAGGGATTTCCTGAAAGTTAGAAAAATTAACCACTGGAACAACTTGCCTTCAGAAGTTGTGGATGCTCCAACACTGGTGGTTTTTAAGAAGAGATTGGACAACTATTTATCTGACATAATATACTGTAGAGTTTCCTGCTTGAGCAGAGGGTTGGACTAGAAAACCTCCCAGGCCCCTTCCAACTCTGTTATTTGTTAAGAAGCATTTGCATCTTGAGATTCAGGGGATGGGGACGTTTTGATAAAAACTTTGTTAAAAACTTATCACAGGCTACTATGAGTTACAAGGGCACATTCCTTAGGTCTTCATTTCTCAATTAACAGTCCTGTTCACCTGAAAATGGATTCTCCCTACATCACTCATAGTATCAGACTGAACGTTGGGAAGACCTTCTCCACTGCCTACAAGAGCAGGCAAAGAGGATATGCACGTTTATCTCATAAGCTGGACAAAGATGTCAATGAGCTATGGTGTTTTTTTAAACCATGGTGTATTGAATAAGTAAGAGGGACGCAGTGGCTCAGTGACTAAGACTCTGAGCTTGTTGATCAGAAAGGTCAACAGTTTGGCGGTTTGAATCCCTAGTTCCATGCAACAGAGTGAGCTCCTGTTATTTATCCCAGCTTCTGCCAACCTAGCAGTTCGAAAGCATGTAAAAAATGCATGTAGAAAAATAGGGATCCCTTTGGTGGGAAGGTAACAGCGTTCCGTGCACCTTCGGCGTTTAGTCATGCTGGCCACATGACTATGGAGACGTCTTCGGACAGCACTGGCTCTTCGGCTTTGTAATGGAGATGAGCACCGCCCCCTAAAGCTGGAAACGACTAGCATGTGTGTTTGAGGTGAACATTTACCTTTACCTTATATTGAGTAAACAATTGGCTGAGATAAACCAAGGTTACATCAATTTTGGAGAGTAATATTTTTTTAAGCAGGACCTGGTTTGCAGAAAGAAAGTGGAAATGTTGTCCAAACACTTCGTTACGTACTTTGCCCAGGCAAGCCCAGAGCAGATAATTGCACATGCAGAATTAGAGACCCTTGGGATATGCATATCAAAATATAACCCTTAAATTAAAATCACAATACCTGAAGTATGGTGTCCTGATTTTCTCCCAACTAAAAAGACTAATAAACATCTCAGGCCTGCCTAGATATCCACCTTGCATTTCTGTTTGTCCAGAAGCATGGAGAATACATCAGAACTGTGCATTAAATCCTTACAAATGCATAGTATTCATCTCGTTCTGGGGAAAAAAAATATGTTTTGTTTTAGGAGATTGCAGGTTTTGGGAGAATTGTCCTTCTAAATGAAATAAGCATTTAAATCCCATGTCAAGCTCCAGTTGGCTTTTCAGTCCAGCTGGAGAAACAGATGTTAAAAACAAAATAAAAGATTCCTTTGAATGAACAAGAGCTGCCTTATTGGAGAGAAACATGGAGAAGTTCAAGAGTGATGGTTGTGTGTATCCAAAGGCAACAAACTGTGGAATGGTAGTTGTGTCTTCTCTTGGAAGCTGAGAAAAAGAAAAAGAAAACCAATCTTTTCTCTAACTTTAAGGAAATTAAAAGACAAAATGCACTGCAAAATATTCGTGTTGCTAAGAACAGAGAATAAATAATTAAAAACAGATCTTTTTAGAGAGTTTATAGTGATACCAAAGAACTCTGGCTTCTTCCAGACTTATTAATATATGACTGAGCTTACATACAAGGCTGATTTTCTGAGCCACAATCGTGTTTTCTTCAGTTTCCCCTCCTTCACCTTTCATAACACTCCCAAACTCCATTAGTGACTCTTTCAGGTATTAGCAAATTAAATCTCTGGCAGTCATTAATCTTGCATTCTGGTTAAGCACTGTTTTTGATGGATGGGTGCACAACTAAAACCTGAGAAAAGGCCAATTCAATTTCACTGGAATCATTCAGCAGTGATGTGCCACTCAGGCTTGCTCGATAGAAAACAGGCCAATTCATTGTTATAGCATCAGTGGTCAGACACAATCAGCCTAGTTTGCATATTCTACACACACACACACACACACACACACACACACACACACACACACACCTCTATTTAACAATAGATGTGAACAAACTGCATCATTTCTGATTCATAGGTGGGGAAAAAGTGAGAACATGTGGCTCATTACATTTTTTCTCATTTGAAGTAACCAGCTGGTGGTGTTGAGTTTCTTTGCAAGTCTATCCATTGTGCATGTGATGATGTCCACTACAATGTAAGGTTTAGATCTGGGCAAGCCAGGGCGGAGAAGAAGTGGTCAGTTGGAAGTTGGAGCCATATGGACAGCTAATGGCATTCTAATTTCTGGATCTAATAAACTCCTCTACTTATCAGCAATAACAACATTGAAGCTGATCATGAAACCAGGGGTAACGAAGTAGCAAAAGACAATCCATTGTAAGTACAGAATGCTAAAGCTTCAAATCAGTGTTGACCTCTTGACAGAAAAGCAGCCTAAGGAAGAAACTGCCAAATCTGTACTCATATGCCTCTTCTTCTCCTTCTCCTTCTCTTTTTCCTTCTCCTTCTACCATATCCGTTATCAGACGATATGTTGGCGATCCTATTTTTATCAACAGCCACACAAAAAAGTGCTATTGGGTTTTGTCCAAACTAGTCACTTAGATTTTGAAGCCATGATCTTCTTCTCTTGCCTGGACCTGGTTCGTCTTCAATCTTTCCTTAGAGGATTAAGTGAAGTATGCTATGTTTTTCTGGGTATCACATCACATGTCCAAAATACTCCAACTTTTGCTTTTTTATGATTTTGATGATTTCCCTTGGCTTTCCCAGGTGGCTTATCACCTCCTCATTTCTGATTTTGTCAGCCCAACTTATACATAACAGCCACCTGTAAATCCACATTTCAAATGCTTCTAGTCTATTCTACTACTACTACTGCAAAGGTCCTATATAGCCCTTAATTGTTGGATTCAGGTGGGTTGGGTGTTTTTGCTGAATATTTAATTTATAATGATTACATCATCATTTATTTCTAATGATGGCTGACAGTTACTGACAATGGATAAAAGAAACAGGAGGCCTTTCAAAAGGTCATAGGGTCATAATTGGTTAGGGGTTTGCTGGACAACCATTTTGAATTCTGCAATGGAAATTGATAGCATTTCAAATCTGGGATAGTTTGATCAATAATTTTCAAGAGCAGGCTAACATAAAATGTATTGCAATAAGGAATTGGCTTGCACATGAGAATCTCTCCAAGATGGCTCATGGAAACTTGGGGCTTCCCCATTTCAGTTAACAAAACACCAGTTTTCAAATGACTCAGGTGGAGGGTTGTATAGTCTGCAATAGTGGCGTAATATTTATTGGCTTCAGGTATTTACTGTACATGCTCTCATCTCATCCTAATTCCCAAATCAAGCTTGCTTTTCTTCCTTCTTCATAGACATACAGTATTATCAGCTGTAAAGGAAATCTCAAAGGGTCTTGACAATCTCTTTAGGCTTATAAAAAATTACTAACACACACAAAACCATCACAGCCATCAGTAATAAAAACAAGATCATCCTGCAAGCAAGAATTAGTCCTTAAAATCCACTCATATGCATCAGTGCCTCTTCTTCAGTGGTCTGCCCTTTGAAAGTCTAAACTAACCTAAAAACGTAGAATTTGCAAATTACCAACGGAAATGACCTGGTAGATTTCTCTGGGGAAAAGGATCTCCAAAACAAATATAAACAAACAAACAAGCAAACTTTGGCTGAGAAATCTCATCTCTTCTGAGACCTTCCCATGTCTAGGAATACATTCATAATTAAAAATAAGGAAAACAGAAGGCATGCATGTTGCATAAGAAAATGACACTACGTTGCTTTGATCTTTTGCCATCTGAAAAGCCGCCTCGCTACGCGGTGGGATTTGTACTGTAAGCCTAACAGGCACTGCATAAACTCACAATTGTGAAAATCTCTGGAGAGCCCAATTATTCATATCATAGCAGTCAGATTCATTCAAGGCAAGAGAAAGAGAAGGAGGCTGCAGAGTTGACCCTGGTCTCTGGAGACTTCTGCTGTTTCAGTGCTGTCACAAATTTATTATCTGCCAACCGTAGGAGCAAACTGCATATTTAAATTAACATCAGAGTTATGTTATGGATGCCATGTTCATTGAGCCTGTTCCATCGGTCTCCAGCTTGGCTGTATTGAGTAGAACAGCTGTCCGAAGGGAAGTAAGGCAAGCTTTGGCTTGCTTCTAGTCTCCACCGAATTAAAGACAGTTTTAGATAAGTCTCCATCACAATTTTCATCAGCCCCATCCCTGTTATTGCCACTGCTACTCCTACTCCCAATCTAAATTGAAAATCAGCATTAAAAAAACACAAACAATAGATGATAAATTAAAAAGGCATGAAATGACATACTCCTTGTAATAACTGAGGGGAAGAATGGAAAACCAAAGCAAAGCAAAAGGACGCCAACAGACAGAAGGCCTGGATGAAGAGCGAGGGTCTTCAAGAGGAACTTAAAAGAGTCCTTTTAGGGGATCTCACCAAATTCAGAGATAGCATTCTAGGGTGCATAGGACCATATCTGACATTCAGTATGTGTAAAAGAGCTGGCCTTCTTGTATGATGGACTCAAATTGTTA